AATCTACGGAAAATATTCTAGTTATTTTATCTTCCTTTTTGTGTCGTGTTTTACAAAGGCGGGGGGGGGGGGGTTTTTAATCTTTGTCCTGAGATGGAATTTAAAGAATTCGAGCCGCGGTTTAAATCCGCCAAAACCCGGTTTAAATTTAGCGCCGGCTTAAATCTTGAAACATTTGATACAATTTTAAGTGGAACCAACCATATTTAAACCGAGGTTTAAATCTAAACAGCCGCTCAAATATTTTTAATTCGGCCACTGGTTCTGGGGAGCGTTCTAAAGTTCAATTTTTCAAAGCAATGTTTTTTAATGGATTGCAAGGGAGATTGTAAAAAAATAGCAAAGAAGTGTGGGATCATTGAAAAACATGTTAATATTTTTTACTTTCAATTCTAACAAATTCTTTGAAATGTTAACCCTATCTCTGCTGGGGTACTTGAAAACCAGGATATGCTGGGGGGGTAAAATGTATAAATTGTTTTTAACAATGATATAAATTTTCTAAGGCACAACAAAAATGTTTTGGGGTTTTAAAAAAAGTAAACCGACCGGCCTTTCATTTTATCTCTTGAACCTTTCCCCTTTTTTCACAGTTTGGACACAATGTTCAATTCTACGTTTTTTCACAGTTTGGACATCAATGTTCAATTCTACGTTTTTTTCACAGTTTGAACATCAATGCTCAATTTTATGTGTTTTCATAGTTTGGGCATCAATATTCAATAATTTTTTTCTTCACAGTTTGGACATCAATATTCAATTTTACGTTTTTTCACAGTTTGGACATCAATGTTCAATTTTACGTTTTTTCACAGTTTGGAAATATTCAATTCTACGTTTTTTTCACAGTTTGGACATCAATGTTTAATTCTACGTTTTTTTTCACAGTTTGGACATCAATGTTCAATTTTACGTTTTTTTACACAGTTTGGACATCAATGTTTAATTTTACCCTTTTTTACAGTTTGGTTATCAATATGCAATTCTACGTTTTTTTCACAGTTTGGACATTAAAATGTTCAATTTTACGTTTTTTACACAGTTTGGACATCAATGTTTTTGACATTTTAGGCTGTTTTGACAACCTATGGTGAAATAAAATAGATTGCAGAAATTTTGCACAAAAAACTTACTGTAAAGTGAATTTTCAAATTTTAAGTTTCGTATTTCTTATTCAACAAAATTTGAAAGCTGATGCAAATATTGTTGCATAGTTTAGATTGGTATGGTCAATATCTCGTTTTAAAATGTATAATTTGTTGTAAATCATTTATCCTAAAAAATGATTTTATAAAGAATTTATAAATAAACAAGCAGAGTATCATTACTGTTTATTTGTCTATACTTTTGTATTACATGTTATTTCCAATATTCCTTTCCCAATACTGTATCTGTATACAGTATTGTGTATTGTACATATTCAAAAAGATTTATTCTTAAAGGGGACACTAACAACAATGTATTATTTAACATTATTAATTTAATCCTAGATAATTTATCTAGGTGTAAAATATAAAGTTTCCCCACTAAGATAACGTTGATATTCAAGAGTATGTATATTAAAAACTTTTTAAAATTCGGTGATGGTGATGAACCAAACCTCTGTAGAGTAAAAAAGTAGATGTTAGTTCCACATTTATTGAAAATATATTTCGGTCTGGGTTGACCCTCGTCAGTGCTTGAGATTGTTTCTTCACAAAGATTAAAAACAAACTTTTTGTTCCCTTAATCCCCAAATCAGGTGAAAAGATGGGAGACAACAAGGAGGGAGACAACAAGGAGGGAGACAAAAAGGAGGGAGACAACAAGAAGGGAGACGACAAGGAGGGAGACAATAAGTAGGGGGACAACAAGGAGGGGGACAACAAGGAGGGAGACAACAAATAGGGAGACAACAAGGAGGGAGACAACAAGGAGGGAGACAACAAGGAGGAGACAACAAGGAAGGAGACAACAAGGAGGGGGACAACAAGGAGGGAGACAACAAGGAGGGAGACAACAAGGAGGGAGACAACAATTTTACCCATACATATTTTCTTATATTATATTTTGTTTAAAGGGATTGACCGGCTATGTAAGGTAGTTGAACTGAGTTGCAGTGTTGTGGAAAACTTCTTTTGAATTCATTTGTGACATATACAGAACTTTTTGAAGATCTGTTAATCCTGAGTTTGAGCGCAATTTCAACGTTCAAAACTCCTACTTTGGGGGTGGATACGTTTTTAGAATTAGTTTTTTTCTTTAATTATTAAATAACGACATCGAAAAATAAAGTAAAAATCATACAGTAATCTGATTTGATGGTTAGGAACATATTTCTCAAAAGAAATTTGTCAATAAATCAATGATAAAATCGATTATTTCGTTTTCATTCTTATATTGAATTTCTTATCTTCTTTGAATTTATTCACAGATTTCTTCAAATTCTTCAAATGTCGTCTTTTCAATAATAATTCTAGAAAATCTGCAGAAAAACTTTGTGAAAAATGAGAAACCAGAATAATGAGAAAATAGAAACTAATAATTGAACAAGATTACTTATTTTCGCTGATAAGAATAATTTTTATTTTCTTCACTTTTTTACATTTTTATGTCGTCGTTTTTTAATAATTAAAAAAAAACTAATTCTGAAAACGTATAACTCCCTTTAACCCTAATTCTAGATATAATTGTCCAATATTGAATATATTTACATCGATTACAGTAAATCCGGGAACGGATTATATAAAATCCTCCAGTAGTTGGACTGTTCAGATTCACATCGCATAAACTGTTCTTTCATTTTTTTCTATTAATTTTCTTTAATGAAAAAATGCAAATTCTACAATTTATGTAATACATTTAAAAAAAGAAAATGTATTTACTGAAAATAAAATAAGTTTACTGTGTCCGAGGGCACAGCTGCTAGTAATACCTTAACTTGGAACATTAAGCCAATAATAAAGCAAAATGCTCAAAATATGATAGAAATAAATAAGAAAAAAAAAACATTATTATTTTACCCCCGAAAAGATTAAGACCCAGCTAGGCGAATATGGCGAATATGGAAGATGGTCAAGAGGGAAGGGTAAACTTAAAAGGAGTGTTTGTGAAAAATGAAATATGTACTGAATCCGCAACATATTTGCATGATCGATGACAGCTATCCTGAAGCCTAGTAAATAAGTTTTATTTCAAATGCCAAAAGTGACAATACTACCCCTAGCATATATAAATTCATATATGGAGGTTACTTATCCATTGAAATTCAAATGTTTGGAGCTACTTTTTTATGAAAAGGTCCATTCCCTTTTGGACTGCACTTTACTATACTTGCATTTAAAATAAAACTTTTCATTGTGGTTATAAATACGAATGGTACACCAGGGTGTTTTTAGTTTTTAAAATTGTGGGCTGAAGATAGATATCTCAAATAAAAATTTTAATCATCTGACGCTTACATTTGATAAAAAGAATGGACAGAAAGTTAGAGTCTTCTTTTTCTGCATTTCAACAATTAATTGTGTTACAATGCTTGTTAACGTTCCATATATTCTTAGCAGAATGTCTTTTAGACTTTAATGAAACTAAATTTGTATTCTCATCTCGCAAACTTGAAATAATGTAAAAAATATGTAAGAAATGCAAAAAATGTTTTACCCGTTTCAGAAATTGTACCAAAATTTTACTTTCAATCTTCTTCGATGTGTAAAATGTAAAAGAGTTTAATCTGAATTTCTAATTTGGTAAAAAATCGTTGAATCTCGAAAGTCTATAAACCTAAGGTGGGCCGTGAGGTTTTTAAAAATGCTGTACAACCCGGTTCAGCGTTACTTACAGGGGGGATGATAGTTCTCTTACTGTACACTGTTTATTAATATTGATATACGATAGGTTAGGCCAGAATCAACTTATAATAAACAAATATGCAGTACACTCTCGGTATAGTTTATGGCCTGTAAAATTAGTAAAGGATTATCGGAAACATCATCACTATAACCTCGTTGGTTAGTTACACTCTCGGTATAGTTTATGGCCTGTAAAATTAGTAAAGGATTATCGGAAACATCATCACTTTACAGCTCCAAATAAGTAGATAAGACAAATACATATATTGATAAAAAATAGCTTAATTCAATCACAATGGATAATGGAATTTACCCTTTCGTAATGCATTACGTAATGCATCACGTAATGCATCACGTAACGCATCAAAACTAAAGAAGCTACGAGGATACAAAGGCGCACCAGTAATGGTCCATAAATTTGATCTTCTTCTTCTATCTAGTTTGTAGTGCAGTGGATCAATTTAGATCCGGAAAGCCCTCACTGAACCTTTTCTGAACCTGATAAAAATGATATTTTTTTTATAATTCAGGGCGAACATTTTAAATCGAGCTAAGTAAACCTTCTGGATGTTTTACAGACCTAACTGGTACTTTATCTGAAGATCGGTTCAGAAAGGTTTCGACCTTTATTTCGAAAAACGTTTTCTGGTTTTTATACTAAACCCTACTTATCCGGACGTCTGGTTTCATGTCTTGTTCCCTGGGGGTGGGGGCTCAAGTTGACCCCCCACCTTCTATTTTCTTATGGTAATACAAATATATAACATTTGATACGTCTTTGGAAAGCCCTTGGACTCTACTTTAATAATCTGCAAAAAAATGGCAAATTTGCAAAAGTAAAAATATTTATTGCGTAATCTAGTTATCTTAACAAAAAAATGCACAAAAAAATTGCGCAAATTGCAACAAATTATATTTTTGAAAATCCCTTGACCCATGCAAATGTTTTTTTAAAACCGAAATGTGTATTCAAGAGAAACTGAAAATGTGCAAATTCCCTTTATAAGCGTCTGTGCAAAAATCTTGGAAAATTTCTTTGGTTTTCAGTAGGGATCGGTAAAATGTCGTCTTTTTAAAGAAAATTTCAGGTTGTGGAAATTTTCTTCTCCTTTCAGTTATGTTTTCCCTTGCCTTTCTCCTTGAAATTATATTTGTATGTTTGAGATTTTAGAATGTGAAACTGTTAAATAATTCTTATTGTTATTATATATTTCAGTAATCTGAATATGAATTTGGAATATATTTTTTTCTCATTTATTCTTTTGTCTTAAAGTCGTCTTCTTCTTCTTCTAGCATCTTCTTCTGGTGCTGCTCTCACTTTTTTACCCTTTTTACCCTTTTTACTTCCCCCTCCCCCTCCCCCACCCCCTTCGCTGCCAGGCTTTGTAAGTTCACCCAAGGCCTGTGCTGCCAAATCAGATAAAACCGGAATGGCATCCTAAATAATTAATTAATTCAATTTAAAATCATAAATAGTCGACAATTGATAATTATACAATATTAACTGAAAACTCTAAAATAGGAAGACGAATTTTTTTTGCAAAATTTACGTGTATTTGATGTTTTTACAAGACACTTTTCAAATCATTGATTAATTGATGTGTCTCAAGTTCATTGGACTATTTAAAGTCATTACTCGAGTCTAAAAGGGGTCACTGTAAGATGTATTAAGTCATTTGACTCAAGTCTTTTTACAATAGTATAGAAGTCTTATATTTGTTATCAAAAAAGAATGATAACTTTTAAAATATGACTATTTTGAATATGGTCTTCGCTTATGCAAAGATTAATAACAATACAGACAGAACACTAATTGTCGTCTTTTCAATATTTAGGCGTGTTATGTTCACAATAACCCTGAGGTAAGAGCCCAAAGGAGTTAGAACAGGCTCTTTCTCTGTCTTGTAAATCATGCGCGTAACTCCTTTGGGCTTCTGTCTCAAGATTATTGTGAACGAAAAACCCCAAAATCTTCAAAGGCAACATATGTTTTGTTATTTATCTATGGTCTCATGGCTTATTTAATAATTAAATAAAACAAGATTAGAGCTGTTCATGGAATCTCACACTTAGTGGGTAACCTTGTACTTGTTTTATAAGTTAAATATTACAAGCATTTTCAATTAAATATTTCGAATGCTGTGGGTTTAGTAACTAAAATGAGATTCTGTATGTTCCCATAATATAAAATAAGATAATATCAACGCCTCTAAAACAAAGTTGAAGCTCTCAATATTATGGCAACAATTCCATTACAAATCTATTTTTGTAACCCTTCGAAACAAGATTAAGCATTCCATAACTTTGTATTTAGGATTTATGGGTAAGTTTCTACGCTCCCTCCCCACAGTGCGACTGAACCAAATCAAGACTTTTGAAATGCGTCAGAAAAAAGGTTGGTGGGGTTCGAAAATACATGTAAAATGATTGAGAAAAATGATTATCCTAACTGTTTTCATCGAGATACTTTAGGACATACTGGTGTAAATTCCAATTATGTCAGTTTATTCCTTTTTTAAACCTTTTCAAGGCCAGATAGAATATTTTGTTACCTCTAAAAGTTGAAAGTAAATCAAATTTTGCGCCCAAGGTTTCAACGCTTTCATGTATCTTGTTTATGTCCAAAGATACTCATAATCAAAGTTTATATAAGGTTACTACTGAATTAAATATCTTAAAACCTGGTTAAGAGTAAACTATAAGAGTACATATTTTGTTCAGGCGCACTGTGTACAAAGCTTTCTCTGAAAAACTTACCTCTCTCTTGTTTGAATCATCACTAAACTTGCCTCTCTCTTGTTTGAATCATCACAAAACTTACCTCTCTCTTGTTTGAATCATCACTAAACTTGCCTCTCTCTTGTTTTAAATTCTCACTAAACTTACCTCTCTCTGGTTTAAATCCTCACTAAACTTACCTCTCTCTGGTTTGAATCATCACCAAACTTACCTCTCTCTGGTTTAAATCCTCACTAAACTTACCTCTCTCTGGTTTGAATCTTCACTAAACTCTGTGGTTTAAATCATCACTAAACGTACCTCTCTTTGGTCTAAATCATCACTAAACTTACCTCTCTCTGGTTTGAATCATCACTAAGCTTACCCCTCTATGTTTTAAATTCTCACTAAACTTACCTCTCTCTGGTTTAAATCCTCACTAAACTTACCTCTCTCTGGTTTAAATCCTCACTAAACTTACCTCTCTCTGGTTTGAATCATCACCAAACTTACCTTTCTCTGGTTTGGATCATCACTAAACTTACCTCTCTCTGGTTTGAATCATCACTAAACTTACCTCTCTCTGGTTTGAATCATCACTAAAGACGCCTCCAATTGCCTCAATCGCTGAGTCTAGAACTCCTGGCTGTTGAATTAACTGAAAAATATTTTATGCAAAAACGAACGTCAGTAAACTAATTCTTACACACATGCAATAAGAGAACTCTTTTTGGCCGGAACCCAGCAGGGATATCCAGTAGAGATGATTAAGGAGAAAATTAAAAGTGTCCTCAGTGGATATTAAGATTAAGAGAACGAGATTAAGGGTATCAAACACAAGAGTTTCCAGCTCAGGTATTATAAGAATTTAAAAACCAATAATCTTTGTTCCGTTTTCTTCCTTTTCAATCAATCAATCCATTGTGTATGTAAGTAGTAGATTAAAAAGGTTTAAAGTGCTTTCAATTTTATAACTAAACAACTCAACCTTATAATCCATGTATCATTACAACATGATAAAAGCTTCAAGAATAAAAGGTTTACATAATGCTTAAGATTGCAAAGATATAGAGTTTCAGGAGAGTAGTAATCAGTTCCATTGGTTTGCGTAAGAAGAAAATTAAAACTTACATCCAACACATCATCAATGGCATAATCGTCTCCATTTTCCCCCTTACCACCAGTTCCAGAATTAGTTGCATCATCTGTAGCACCAGCTGTATTAGCATCATCATCTGCAGCACCAGCTGTATTAGCATCATCACCAGCATCATCTGCAGCACCAGCTGTATTAGCATCATCACCAGCATCATCTGCAGTACCAGCTGCATTAGCATCTTCACTTGCATCATCTGAAGGACCTGCTTTATTAGCATCATCACCTGCATCATCTGTTAAAAATGAAAATTTGGAAAAAATAATAAACGTTAAAAAAGAGTGACAAAATAATGGTCAGAATTTACATTAAATAAAAGTAGCAAAATTTTAGAATTATGAGAGGGGCAACATCTCCCCCCACCAACCCACCCATCCCCCGAATTAAAGTGTTTGAATTTTACCTTCTGGCTTCAGTAGTGCATCAAGTGCATCTTTAGCAAATTCAAGAAGTTTAGGTGCCTGCAATATATTTTGATTTAAATTTTTCAAATAGACGTTTTTCAAACAATTTTTAAAAATAAATTATGGTTAAAATCTTATAAACTGATTGAAGCTTGATAAATACAAATAAATTAATAATTTACAACTTTTAATCAAATGAATAACAGAAATGTAGTTGACACTCAAACATAATGATTAGATTGCAATCATCAGTATACCAGAAATTTAATTGACACTCAAATATTATGATTAGATTGCAATCATCAGTATACCAGAAATGTAAATGACACTCAAATATAATGATTAGATTGCCATCATCAGTATACCAGAAATGTAATTGACACTCAAATATAATGAGTAGATTGCCATCATCAGTATACCAGAAATGTGTACCGTGTATGCTCATATGAAAGCATACACACTGATAGTAATTTTCCAATAAGAGATAACACACACTGTGCTTGTATTATCTCCCAGTCATATTTCATAAAAGAATGCTATCATTTTTCTCTTTTTTTCTATCGAACTGTTGCTTTACCAACGCTTGAATCTAAATGACGTATAATGATTTATAACTATATGTAAAAAAAATTTGTGTTAAACCCATGTTAACAATCTTGCAGGCTATGATATACGCAAAATAAATATCTAGATTTTAAATAGTATACCAGAAATGTAATTGACACTCAAATATAATGAGTAGATTGCCATCATCAGTATACCATAAATGTAATAAACACTCAAATACAATGATTATATTGCCATCATCAGTATACCAGAAATGTAATTGACACTCAATTATTATGTTTAGATTGCCATCATCAGTATACCAGAAATGTAATTGACACTCAAATATAATGGTTAGATTGCCATCATCAGTATTCCAGAAATGTAATTGACACTCAAATATAATGATTATATAGCCATCATCAGTATATCACTCAAATCATATTTTAGCGATTTCTTGATTAACCTGTTCACTTCCAACAATATCTTTTATTGCATCAACAGCCCCGCCAATGGTTTCTGGATTAGTGATCAGTGAAACCAGATCATCAGCAGCATAATCATTTCCAGTACCATTACCATTCTTTTCCTTAGCATATTCTGCTAGAGCAGCGGCAGCTTTTTCACCAACTGTAGGAGCTCCTTCTGAATTCAGAAATCATAAATGATTTTAAAATAGAAAACACATGATTTTAAGTGATTAAGAGAAGGCATGTCTAATTTACAACGATACAAATCATAACATAATCTTAACCGATACAGGGCTATATAGGACAGGTATAAAAATAGACTATATCATCCCCATCATTGGTACGCAGATAACAGTTTCAGGGTTACCGTTGTGAATCGAAGATGCTATTTACTGACATGAAGGGTAACTAAACTTGAAAGTCCTGAGGCCGAATTTAAAGAAATTTGAGCCGCGGCTTTAATTTAAGCTGCGACTCAAATATGGTTGGTTTCACTTAAAATTGTATTAAATATTTCAAGATTTAAGCCAGCAGTAAATTGAAACCTGTTTTTTTTTGGGGGGGGGGATTTGAGAAGCGGCTTAAATAAATTAAATTCGGAACTGGTTTAAGCTGTCTTTAATCGTTTATAAAAATGTTTTATCAAAAAACTCGTTTTTGAAAAGAAAAGAACGCAAAGTATTTGTATGTAAAAACTTAGTTAAAAGGTTGAAATGATTAATTTTGATAAATACCAGTTTTCAGTCCATAACTCTGAGGCACAGCTGATTCTTTTTCAACTGAAAATTAAAAAATTTTAAATGCAATTTTCTCATTGTTTACTTATTATTGCCTAAATAATGTTTCTTCAACCTTCAATTTTAAATCATAAATATATATAATAAACTAGGCTTTTTGGGCGCTTCGCGCTCATCCTCTATTTCAACTTTTTTTCCGCATTTTCTTTTCGATAAAAAAATCTATAAAAAAATGTTGTGGATTTAAAAAATTTTCGTGGACTTTTTGGAGACAACTTTTTGTAATTAGCAATCGAATTATCCTTTCCTGGGGTCAGGCGGGATATCACAAAAAAATTTGAGCCCGATCGGTTTAGCTATTTTCACGTTTATTGGTAACAAACAAGCAAAAAGACAATGAATGTATGCATATGTAAAATTTATATTTTAACATCTAAAATTTGTATCTAAACTGAAAAAGTTGTAAGCTACTGCGCAAGAGAATTTTTCTAAAAACTTCGCATAAACTGAAAGCTAAAAACAAGTGCTTTAAAATTCTGAAATGTTCATGTCTTGGGTTTCAAAAATTGTATAATGCTGGGGTGAAATCGTTGAAACACTTCAAAGTGTTGGACGAGTTTTGAAATTTCACGGGCAAAGTCGGGCACTCAAGCTTGTATATGATACCAAATTTAAGATCGAAATAAAAAAAAATGTAGAAACTAACCTGTTTCGATTAAAAACTGTTTTGAAACAGTCATTTCAATCAGCACCATTATCAATAACAAAATCATTTTTTCTTTAAAAAATATGTCAGTATTTAATCAATTTTCAAAGGAACTAATTATCTGCCCTAAACATCTAATTGTCTAATCCTTAAATCTCTTAATATTTTAAAAGCTGAATGTTTTATGAAGCAAAATTTAATGTTTAAAATATCAAAGGTTTACGAGTTCAGGTTGCAGAGACATAAAGTTTAAAAATCATGATTTGAGGTACAACTCTCCAATGGAACCAACTATTTCTTCGGTCCGCGTACTGCAGATTACTGCAGTACACACAGAAAGCTTAGTATAGGTTGATGTGAGTACAATATTTAGTAAAATAATATTCAAGTTAAAAATTAACTCTTATTTCATATATTGAATAATTCTTATTAGATCTTGGAAAAAGCATGATCTAAGAGAACCTAATGTTAGACTAGTTGAAATCAATGTGAACTGCAATATTAAAAAGTCTACCTAATTACACCTAATTACACCTAATTACACAATTTAAAAAAATCAAAATCATATTAAATTAAAACGTTTTAAATGTTTTCCTGTACTCTATTTGTAGAACCTAATATTGTTATTTAATTTTTTTAAATCTAGTCATTTTTATTTTTTTAGAAAATATAGACCCGCCTCATTAAGATTTAAATTTATTTGATTACAGATTAATATTATTATAAGTTTAATATAATAAATTGGATAATTCTTCAAATTAATCTCTCTCTCTCTCACTATTTCCTAACATGATATTATTTTTTATACAGGGTTATCCACAAAATATAATACTTATGATAAAGCTGAAAATAACTTTTCTTTCTCACATTCTTGGTTTTTTGTAGCTAAAACTTATCCTTTTATTAACCAAATCATTAAATTTACCACAAAAAGACGTGGTCCTCTTCAGAAGTTTGACTCCTCATCTCTGTACTATTATTGCTCTTGCTGTCGTTAATTCCAGGGTTGCTTCTGATTGGTCCAGCAGATTAATTCTTGCTTCTGATTGGTCTAGTATTGTTGCTGTCCTTACTACCATGGTTGCTTCTGATTGGTCCAGCAGATAAATTCTTGCTTCTGATTGTTCCTGTATTGTTGCTGACACTTTTCTAGCTGTCCCTTCTACCAGGGTTGCTTCTGATTGGTCCAGCAGATAAATTCTTGCTTCTGATTGGTCCTGTATTGTTGCTGACACTGTTCTTGCTGTCCCTTCTACCAGGGTTGCTTCTGATTGGTCCAGCAGATAAATTCTTGCTTCTGATTGGTCCTGTATTGTTGCTGACACTCTTCTAGCTGTCCCTTCTACCAGGGTTGCTTCTGATTGGTCCAGCAGATAAATTCTTGCTTCTGATTGGTCCTGTATTGTTGCTGACACTGTTCTTGCTGTCCCTACTATCAGGTTTGCTTCTGATTGGTCCAGCAGATAAATTCTTGCTTCTGATTTGTCCTGTATTATTGCTGACACTCTGTTTGATCCTGGTGTTGGCTCCCGTGGTTGACGTCTTTGTAGAATTTGTCAACCAAACTATTGTCAACTTTAGTCTTTACATGGTAAATCAATTCCTGAGAGCTTGTCCAACAACTGCATCATAGCTTTTTTAGGTAGTTTTAGTTTTTTTGGCAAAAAGGAAAGGCGAGGCAGGTTCGTCTCCATTCCTAAAAATAAGCTAGCGGGACTGCACAATGTAGAATAATGTCGTGTAGAGTTATATGGAAGAATCAAAGTGGGTAAATCAAAGGGACCACTAAGTTGTATGAAATCTTTCTATATAGGGGGTCCCCACTTTAATGCTCACTTTTAACGCACTCGTCATAGAAACTATTACAGAGTTTTGAAATTCTAGTCCGGCAGGCTTTCCTGATTTTTGTTGGAGTCCCATACAACAAGATCCAATGTTTTAGGATTGCTGTGGAGACTGTCTTAGCCGACTTATCAGGAATAGGAACTGCAGAAACGACTAAATTGATCAAGCATTGTTGTTAAAATGTACTTATTTCTTGTTATAGATGATGTAGTGGACCTACAAGGTCCATGGCACAAGATGTCATTGACGTTTTTTCACGGTCCTCGAAAGGTTAAAATTTACCTCTTCTCTGTGCAGGCAACTTCACATTCCGTGACAAAGAGACTTGTGTCTTTTCTCTTCCATGGGCAAGAAAACCTTTTTTACAAGCAGTTGCATAGTACGCTGTTCTCCCCAGTTCTCATGTGCATGTACTGCGAGTAAAGCTTGATACCTGTGCGAGGGTGGGACGTCAATTCTCATATGACCGCCCCTGACTTCTTCATGACTAAAGGTGATGACCAGGGTGACGTTGAGCGTTCAATAACCTTATCATGCAACCAGTCTGCTAGTTGTAATTTTAAATTTTTTTCGGAGGAGGGTTAATTGGGTTCACAATATAGTCCTTGAATCCGGGGTACAGTGGAGTAGTCTCAGGAGACTACTCAGGATTTCTGAAAGTAATACAGAACTATACAGAGGGATACATTATAATTTATAGTCCTTTAATTGGGACTAAAATGAAATAGTTTTAGACTGTTTAATTTCAGCTGAAATGAAACAGATCCCAGAGGAAATTATTTTCAGATCTTCAGATCATAACTCTTTGAAAAATTATCATGAGCATTCTTTATTCCTGTAGTAATATGAATTGTTATATTTACTAATCCATCAATTTATGAAAAAATGGTAGAATAAAAAAGGGAACAGATAAGTTCAGTAGGATTAGATAAAAGTTAGTTATATATATTATCTATCTAGTATCTACATACCTATCTAGTATTTACCTAATATCTACAAAGTATTGTAAACAAGAAAAACCGTCTCCAGCAATAATTTATCATAATAACAATAAAAAATATATATATAGATTAGAAAGGCGAGAAAACCATTCTCACAAGCAATGTGAAACATACAAGCAATGTAAAATAATAATGGCAAAAATTTTGATTTAAATTAAGTTAAATTAAAATAAAAATCTTTTGATTAAGATTCTTGAATTCAATAATTTCATTGGGCCATTGGCAAAACTTAAGATATTTAAAATAGTTAAATTAATGGTTTTTATTGAGTGTGATCAGGTATAAGATATTTGTGACATCATATATAAATATTTATAACTATACATGTGTACAGTGATAACCAGAAAACAATGGAATAGGAATACGACATTATAGCAATACTTTGATGGTGTTTCAAAGCAAATAGTTTTACCAGACACTTTTAAAATCAATTTTTTATGTGAAATGGGTCTGTTTACACTGCACAATTGCTGTGTTTTATAGTTGTTGAACTTTTAAAGTTAAAACTTGATTCTCAAAATCGTCTTACTATTCCAGAGTTTTCTGTTTATCACTGTATAAGTATGTTAAGATGTTTGAATTGACACTAATACTATATACTGTAATTAATTATATGAAATAAGGATCATTTAAAGAACATGATATGTTAAAATTCACAATATGTTCTAATTAGTATTTATAATACAAGTGATCATTATAAAATCAAACTCAAAACATTGAGAGGTGGAAGGGGAAAGAAATTAATGACACTAACTAGATAAAGAATAATGTGAGATTTTTAGATGATGAATAAAAACATTATAATAAAATATAAAAATTGTTATGTTTACTCTCTCATCTTAAGTCTTTTAGATTTTAAAGTAATATGCGATAAAATGGAATAATCTTCTTTCTTTAACCCATTAAGTTTAAACCAATCTAAGTGAATGATTTAATGATGAATGTGTATTGTTGATACTCAAGGAGGTTTATAGAGAGAATTAAATTTAGAGCCACTAAAGGGGGGAAGTACTCATTTATAATTTTAACTCATTGAAGTTTCCATATAAATAAATAACGATTTATTGTGATAAAGTCAAATAGTGATTATCATTCACAGATAATTATGAAACAAGAAGATTATCGGCTCAGCAGTCTCTGGATACGTGGAATAGCAGATTTTCTATATTTTTCTGTCCTGGCATGATTAACATGATACTGCTCCTGGTGGCGTAGTTGATGTTCACGTGGGTGAACTGCAGCAGGGAAAAGATGACGATGTTTAGAAGATTTAATACATTTCTTTGCAAAAGAGAGGGATAACTTGTCCCTTCTTGACTCCAGGGTCTCCAGTTCACAGGACTCCAATGCACTTATATATCCAACATAATCTTTGCCTAGAATAATTTGTAGGCAAACTCTCTGTATCCGTTCAAGGACATTGTTTTGGTGAACTGTGATAGAAGAGTGCCATACAACACAACAGTGTCAGTACTCGACAATACATCTGATATAGGTTTTATAGACTGATAATAGGTCTTCCATTTTCATCCCAACATACTTCAGCTTAGAGAGGATAGATATCCTTGCATATGTTTCTATATATTATATATTAAACATTCCATTTATTCATTCAATCCTTTCACATTTCATGCATTGATTCATTGATTTATGTTTACCTGGAAATAAACTTTTCCAAAAACAATTAAAAAAAGTTTGATAATAAAAGCGTTAAAATTTTTATGTACGGAATTTAGCTAAATAATGAATTAAACAAATTTAAATCTAAAATTCTGCTTTCTAGTTCATCTTTTTTCGCTAGTTATAATTTCCACCGGAAAAATTTCTGGTTGAAAATTTGTAAAGTTGGACACTCTAATTATATATCATGAGTTCAGCAATGTGTCCTAACTTTTAGGTTGGGTTCTCGTTATTGTGAGATTGGTCTTATTTCTAATTCAAACTTAACGGTGGGGTGCACTATGGTCCGACTAAGGCTGATATTTTAACTGAAAACAATTCTTTATTAGAAACATTTATTCTCAAATACAAACAAGGTCTTAACCATAGATGAATGACAATTCAGATAGTACACTATCAAGATTCAAGGGTTTTTCGTTCACAATAACCATGAGACAGAAGCCTATAGAGTTACGCACAATGCACATGCTCTCTCTCTGTCAACTCAGGGTTTTTGGAACGAAATCCCCCAAATCTTGAAAAGACGACATCTAGTGTTCTATATGTATTGTTATCAATCTATCTTAACATTTATCTTATGTTAATTTTTTTTAAATGATTTATTTTCTCGCAATTAAGCTAATTGATGATACTCATTGAAGTTGCGCATTGAGTTATATTGAATAGGGTTTTGACTTTGGACCATGATTTTGAATACTTTTTCAATACTTTGAATACTTTTAATGAAGTCTTGGATTTTTGATAAATATTGAATAGGATTTTGACTATGATTATTCAATACTTTTCCATTTAAAATTTTTTTGAACAAAATATTTTTTATTTTCGTACACATAGTTAGTTGTACAACATTTTACATATATTGTTACTAGTTATAAACGAAAAAGGCATTTCATTTTACAATATAATTTGGCTATTCTTTCATAGCTAGAAATACAGTTCTAGATATATGTAACGATATGCTATATTATTATAGCATTCTTTAGAGTAAATAAAAGATCAAAAAAAGCTTCATAATATTGCTATGAGCTATAACATTATAGCTTTTTTCATTGTTAACAAAGATAGATGCTTTAGTAGTACAACATTTGCGCTTGTAATGAAAACAACACATCGGGTTCATTTAGTCAGTGTCAGACTAGAAAGCTAGTAGCACATTTCAAAATAATCAGGATTGTATTGAAGAGATATAAGATTTATAATATTCTCAAAAGAAAGATCAATTTGGGTTATCCGAGGTTGAATTAATATTTAAAATGCGCCGATATATATACGTGTATGAGATTAACATGGAAAGTTAATCCATGCACATTGGCTCGTTTGACCGGTTTATGGTCTGTAGGAGGTAGATCGAGTTTCAAGTAGTAGTTGATCAAGCTCAGCCATAGGAGTCTTCATATACAGGAGTCTCTCACTCCTCAGCGACCCCTGGTACGGCTCAGCTTGTATCCCGGTTACACAGTATACTCTTGTACATATATAGTAAGAGTAATATTCTAAAACTCCTGTTATTTCTTTTTAGGCGTACGTTTCTCCAGGTTCATACTTTAAACACTATATTATCTCAGTCTTCGTTTAATTCCTATACTATTATAGTACTTTACGTTAAGATACAGATACAAATATATATGATGTGCGTCATGCCTATACACATCTGAAATTAAGTATACTTAGCAATTTATAAAAATTTATAAATAGTTCACTGACCGTCATACTATGAGTTATTCTTTCTATGTACTTAAAAAAGTTGAAATGGGACAATATAAGAAAAAATGGTTTGACATTTTTTTAGGTATGTTAACATTCGGATTCAGAATTTAAAATGTTATATTTTATCATATAACTTATGAACTCTTGATTTTTTATTTATATTAAGGGTTTTGACCATGATTTTTGAATACTTTTTTATTTATGATAAAACTCATTGGTGTTGATCAATGAGTTATATTGAATATGGGTTTTAACCTGATTTTGAATACTTTTTTATTAAGAATGTTTTATTTCATCATATATAAACTTACAAACTCTTGATTTTTTATTTATATTGAACCGAGATTATTATTTGATTTATAAGAATTGATAAATTTGTATAATAATCTAATATGATTTTTATGTTGCAGTTGTAACCAAATAAGTTCTTGCTCCTGCTGAGAGTTTATCGTTTAACTTAATATTTCAAAGCATTTACTCAAAAATTCATTAATTTTAAAGGATTATGTCATAACAATTTCAAATTTATTTTAAACTTTAAAATTTTGACAAAATAATTGATAAGTTTTATATATATATATTATTAAAGTATATCTTTCATATTTAGCCTTTGCTTGGTTTAGAACAAATATTTGTTGTTATCATGGAGTTGTAAAGGAAATGAGATTTTACCAAAAACTCAAAACTTAATATCCCTTTATCTTTGCAACCCGATGTTGTAGATCTTTGATATTTCAAACTATGAAAAAAAACTAAATTTGAAATAAGGTTTACACCATCAGGCTTCAAAGAAATAGGGATTGAGAGTGTGGCAAAAACTTAAACAATCTTTCCCCCTGTTGAAAATAATTTTTTCCTCCAGAAATTACATATGTTTGCGGGGAGCAGCAAAAAAAAAGGTGTGGTGTTTTATTTCCTGAATATTTGGTATGAATTGGAATAAAAATTAAAACATGCATTTTTTTCTCCCCAGTTCATCAAAAATCATATTTTTCTACAGAGGTTAGGTTTGTTTGCTCAGAATATCAAAACAATTGCTAGGGTTTTAACTGCTGAAATTTTGAGTTAAAAGAATTAATAAAGATGAACACTTGTCTTTGACGTCAATTTTTTCTTTTCTTTTTTGATTACCTGTAAAGTTATTTTGTGTTTCGCGGATCGTAACACAAATTTTCAGGGTTATACTTGCTGAATTTTTGTTTTAAAAATATTGTAACCAGCATGGACTCGGTAGTTCGGGGTGGGGTTAGTTCCATTGATGTAACCCCTTCACTCTTCAGTTCTCAAGTAGTCCCAGAGCTAAGCTCGGATTACTAGTAGTTCTTTCAGTAAGCATGGCAGCTCATTAGCTCAGAGTATATAGCTATAGGTCGGATGAGACGTAGGGCGAATAACAACCGCCGGATATGTCCTAGTTGTATGCAAGATTTGTCCGTTAGAAATAAACAAAGCCACGCCAGAAGTCAAGTTCCGATCTCATCACCGAGTGTTCTATTAAAGGTCTAGGCCAACGCTCTCTCTAAGAATGAGAGGATTTTGCCCAGAAAAACCGAATGGATCGGCAGTCCCGACGAAGTGCCCCCTCGTATCCAACCAGTTCAAAGTTTAATTACAGTCAAGGAACAGAGTTCTTGGCAGAAATTTATTTTCCATTGCAAATGATTGTTCTGTAAATCTTTCTGATCTTAGTAAAATGTTAGTTAAGAAACAGATATTTTGATGTCCCATTGGAACATGCATGGAAAGTTCCGGTTTTACAAGAACTTTTAAATACTAAAACGAATAAATTATATGTTGAAGGATTCGATGATTAGGTAATAATTGAAATGATAAATATGTTATATAATGAGTAATGATCAATGTCGTCTATTTGTGCATAATTTTGCTTATTTTTCTTGTTAATCTTTTTAAGATAATAATTGAAATTCCAA